TTTGAGTCTGCAACTATAAAAAGCTTATCATTATCTCTTATGACTTCTACCGCGTCGATTATCGTTCCTTCTTCATCAGTCACACAAGCATTTGCTGCATCAAACCCAAACTTCTCCCCTGCAAAACCAAACCAAAACAAAAACATCATTTAAGAACAATGAATCCCAAACCTGTCAAATGTTGTTTTGTGTACTATACCTGCAATGCTCTTTAGCGTCTCTACCGAGTCAGGCAATTTGATTAGCCTTCCCGGTTCTCTGCACTGCGTTTCTCGCCTTGTTCGAGGATGGCCTCTATATATGCTAACTCTTATCATAGAGCATTGTTGTAGGGTATCAGTAGGACCTTTTTGATCCATCATGTGCCCTAGTTTCTTTCTCTGTAGGACCTCATTAGTCAAGCCTAGGGACTCCAAATGGACCTTAGTTGGCTCATCAATCTCTGCCCCATTCATCAGCAGCAGCTTTATCATGTCTGTCTGGTTTTTGTTCTCAGCCACAGCCACTTGAAGGGCAGTCCTCCCGTGTCGGTCCCTGGAATCGATGTGGAGCCCGTGCTTCAGAAGCTCCTGCATTGCAGCGAGATCGTTTGATTTTGCTGCTTTGCATAGGAGATCCCCTGCTACGTAGGGATCAGAAATGGTTGCCCAGTGGTACAGTACGCTGAATATTGAATGTTGTTTTTCCCCTATGACGTCCCATAATGCCGTGTTACCTTCCACATCTGCAACATTTTTTTAACCTTGGATTATAGTTGACAATCGATAGTCAATATGGCAATGGTGGCCAATTTCAAATGAACTTTAAGGTTTGAAAAAAAAACATATCTATGGATTTTTTGTTTTAAAAATGTTCTTCAACCTTTGACATGTATGTTACATCCATGCTTGAGGAGCACCATCACACACTCTTCATGCCCCTTTGATGCTGCAATATGCTGATGAGTTCAATATAAATAAACATTATTTTATGATAATAATAAGAATAGTGATTAATTAATTTATAAGTAGCTAAATAAATACATGTATATACCAATGGAGTCTTTCCTTTAGAGTCTCCAATGTTAGGGTCCATTCCTGCCTTGAGAAGCTCATTGAGAAAAGTGGCATTCCCAGTGGCCACAACTGTCAACAAGTTGATAAACTTGTTTGGATCTTCATCTTCTCCACCTATATCAATGAACAAATCCCCCAACTTCAGATCCTTGAGCTTTTTGTGGTGCTGCATACATTAAATGTTCATCCAAACAGAAACCCATATCAATCATCCTGAACCATGAGCTTAAAACCCGTTAACCTCGAGAAAGTTTTAGTAACCTGGAGAAAGTTTTTGATCATGGTAATGTTATCTTCCCGTTTCATTTGCATGACTTCAAGAAGAGTACTTGTCCTCAGCCTGAGAAGCTGGGAAAGAGTCTTGGTTCGATATGTGAAGCTCTGCGGGCTGCGACAAAAGGCACTAACCTCTCCAAACATGTCTCCCGGATTCAAAGTCCAAACATATTTCTCATTATCCTTAGTCTCCGTGTCGATCACGTCCACCTCCCCTGACACTATGATGTAAACGTCGTCAGGGGATTCGTTCTGCATGATCACATCCTCCCTTGGAGGAAGATATTCTGCCTTCATATCAGCTACCTGAAATATTCAATGTGTTTAATCATGTTTGTAAAGTTTGACGAAAAAAGTCAAACGCAGTTACTTTGTAAAGTTTGACCAAAAAAGTCAAACCTACCAGACGCAACAAGATTTCCTTAGAAATGCCCTTGAAGAGATAAACTCGCTCGACGGTTGGCAGAAATAAATGCTGGCTGATGCTTTTGCATATTGTTTTCGGGAGATTCTCAATCAGTTCCTGTCTGTTTAAGCTGTCTGCTCTGAACCTCAAACACATGTAAGCCAATATCTGCTCCTTCAACCGCGGAGGCAAGTGGTTGCGCCGCACAAAATTCGACGCAGCTTCAATGTTGTTCCTCTGCGCGCAACAATGAACATCATTAATCAACCTTCTTCTTGGTTTGACTTGACAGTTGACACTTGACACAAGTTTTAAAAAGTGGAATCTGTTGAACTGCTTACGAATTCCATGGTACGCCGGGTGCCTTCAACGACCAAGTTGGTCATGTTGCCGATTATGTAAGCTGTAAATCCTAGATTGAAGAGCATGTATAAGATGATGAAGATCATCTCCATAGTGTTGACAGCATGGAGGTCTCCATACCCAACCGTGGTCATGGTTGTTATGGACCAGTACACAGCAGAAATATAGCGAATCAGAAGGCTTTCGTCTCTGAGATTAATCGAACCCAGCCAGTTTTTCCCCTTGTGTGGGTATCTGTCAGCTATCAAGTAATACAGGCAACCAGCACAATGCACAAACAACAATGTACCCTATACATATAGGGACTATATTTTATTTATTTGTCACATGAAAGACAATCAGACGAATACCCTGAGATGAATGGAGTAATAAAAACGCGACTTACAAATAGAAGCCTGACACATCTAACCCAAAAGTAGCTGAACCTAATGTCCTTCTCTAGCCTGCAAATAACAAGAAGGAAATTGAAAACCAAGTTAAAGTCATGGTACTCTAGCTAAAAACATTTATTTTAATTCACTCTTTTGTTTTTTGACCTGGTAAAGAAGCTGCTGACCCTGCGGAGTCGCCAAAACCTGAGCATTCCTAGGATGGAAAAACAAAGGCCAGAGTGGTGTTTTCCGGTCGCCAAAAAGGCTACCAGTTCAAATGGGATGGTTGACGCCACGTCCATCACGAACCACGTTGACAAATACCTGCATTGCAATTAACAACCTAGTATTGAGTATTATGTTTTTTTAACGGATTCTTATCGTGTATATGGTTATTACAATGGTTGGCATTGGAAAGTTATTTGAATTTACATACATTGATTGGCATGCATCTACTTATCCCATAACATAACCTACGAAAGAGTAACATTGTACCGATATCTATTGGAATTGTTAAGTTATACCCAAAAGGTTAAGGCGAACAATATACATTTTGTCGAATTGGGTATGAAACAAATATATCAAAACAAAAAGAATTGCCTATTACGAGTAGTATTATTGTCAAATCTTAGCTTGGAGTAAACCAAAATAGGAGTAAACCAAAATATGAGTAAAACATAGCACTTATCTCCAAAATAAGCTTTTCATTTTTTATTCCAAAATATGAGTTTAGACCGTGATAATGTGACACTGTATATTACTCCGTAGTATTTTACAATGTTATTTGGTATTATATGTTGACATTATTTGTATTGTTAATCCTATTTTTTTGGAATAAAAAACATGAAATTCCTATTTTGATACTAATTCATATTTTATTCATTGTTTAGTCTTTTTCATTTTTTAATTTGTATTTTTCCAATGATTAATTATTCCTCTTCGTAAAATTATCTTCGAAATTTAATTTGAGAAGATTTTTAATAAAGTGAAATGTGAGCTATTGTAATTTACTTCCTCCGTCCCAAAAAGTTTCACACATTTTGACTAAAGTGGAAATTAAGAGAGGGATAATTTTGTGTTGACTTTCCAAAAATAACCTTGATTTGATGTGTAAAAATAGGATGTGATGTGTAGATTATAAGGAAAAAGGTATGATGTGATAGGTAGGGTTTGAAAAAGTAAGGGGTAAAAGTAGATTTTTAATAGAAATGTGTAGGAGATTGTGAGACACAATTTTTTTGAAAGGTGTAAATCTTTTTGGGACGGAGGAAGTATATTGTAATTTATGTAGAGTGGTAAAGGGGCAGAATCGCACGAACAGATAATAAAGTCGCAAATTCCAAAGGGTAGAAAGAAATGGAAGTTCCTTCTGATCCGAATATCTGCTAACATAATGGTGTTGGGCCCGCGATGGGCCGGCCCAGTCGATAATGCGACCTTTCAGTGATGAGAGAACATCAATCAAGTGGCCCACCACAACCACTCCTCATTACTTGAGACAAGAAAAGAATCAAAACACAAGACCGACACAAGTTGTACGTCCACGCCCACTACTTGTACATTTTTACTTTCAACTTTTAAGAAAGTACATTATCATTCCCTCTCTTATGAAATAAATTGTCATAAATAAAGAAATTGTAAAAGCCATACATTTCCTTCTTCAAAAGGAAATTATGATTTTTTTTGTGACAAACAAAAATGAAAATTAGAATTTTTCTTAGTAAGGGTGATGATCATTATGGGGATTTTTTTGGGAAATATACTTATATACCCATCAAACTTATTTGTAATAATGTTGTAGGTGCAAATATAATGTAACATCCTTTGTACAGCCAAAGCATAAAGTTGATGTTTTAACTACAATGGAGGGAGTAGCTAGCTAGTGTGTACTTAGTCCCAAATAAATTTTCATTCAATTTCAAAACAAACGAAAAATATATAAATTTGGGAAGAATGATGTGTCTCCACCCACATATGAATGAAATGAAAAAAAGAACTTGATGATACAAATTTTGAAACCATGAAATTTGCATGCAAGAATGCAAGAAAATAACTAATAACTCCTTCCAAGTAATGTACGTATATACAGGGGCGGACCTAGGGTGGTTGCAGTGGGGTCACTTGCACCCACTCCAAAAAAAAATTATTTATTAGTAGTAGTATATAATTAGATATTATATGTAGACTAAGGGCATCCAAGGAGAGTATATTTATATGTGATTAGGTGCTATTTTTTGAAAATGGAAGAGATGACACATTCTATAGTTGTGTAGAATTTTATGTTTTAATTCTTTTAGATTTGGAAAACTGATTTACCTTTCATTATGAAACTTAATTATAAAATGTTCAATTTTTTTTGAAATGTATGAACAAGTTTAGTTGTTTTAAAAAGATTCCTAAGATATACTTAGTATTTGAAGAAATGTCTAGAATTACTACTTTAGTTCTTTAATTTTTTTGGTTAAAACAATGAGCGTATTATATTTTTATACCGTATTTCAAAAATATTGCATATAATTCACTATATTAATCCCAGAATGCTATTTATTAATATTTTTTTACCTTTAAGGTTTTAAATTTATTGTTATACAAATATCAACATTTTTTTTTGTGCACAAAATGTGAACCCACTCCCCGAAATTCTTGGGTCCGCCACTGCGTATATATATACACATATATTGATACATACAGAGACTTAATTACCTGGTGGCGATTTTGGTGGGGTGGCGAACGAGGAGGTGAGTGGTGGGGTGGAGGTAGGGGACGAAGAAGGTGAGGACGATGTCCACCGCGAAGAACAAGTCCACCGCGTTGTCCACCACGTACAAGGGGTGCTGGCTGTCCTTCCCCAGGAACCCTATCTCGAACGGGCACACCCACGCCGAGTACGCCACCAGCACCGCCATCCATGTCTCCCAACACCTGCATTCTTATATATATATGTCATCATCATCAATCTAATAATTAAAAGAGGCTATTAATAATTTGGTTTTTCCCCAATGTAATAGGGCGGGCGGGCACCTGTATTTGGAATTGGTGGGAGAGATGATGAACTTCCCGGGAGGGGTAGCGGCGTGGAGGGTAGTTTGGGAAGAGCCAAGGGGAGGGACTATATACTTTGAAAGCTTTCCCAAGCTGAATTCATCTTCTTCTTCATCATCCACTCCTCCTCCTCCTCCTCCACTATTACTACTACTACTCATACTTTCTTCTTCTTCTTCTTATGATGATGATGATGATGATGATGAGGATGAAAATCAGAGCTTAATTAATTAACCTCTTTTCTTCACCAAATACTCATTCTTGTGCTAGTAATTATATATATTCCCCAAATATCCATGTATATATATATACTCTATGAATTAATTATTGGACCTCATAGTCCTATATATGTATGTATATATATATATATATATATATATACATACTTTAGGATGGGAGTATCTTGAATTGAATGGGTCGGTTTGCCCATATCTCTAACTCTTCTAACTTATTTTGTGACGTCTCTCTTGAAAACAACCTCTCTCTCTACGTACGTAATCGATCAACTAACCGAGACTCTACTTGTCTTATTCATTCGTGCTATGTCAATATTTTTTTTTTTATTTTTACTTTTCGAATTTTTCGAAAGAAAATATCATATGATTCATATTGTTTTTTTTCATTTCATATAGATTTCAATCACATATATTTAATGAGATATTTTATTTATGAACATATTTTGTGATAGAGGGGGTGGTAGGTGATAGAGAATCAGAGAATGAATAGAATGGGGCCGGGGCGGGTGCATGGTGGCCTATATAGTCATGACCTGAGTGGCCCTTTCATCAATTCAAGACTCATCTAATTTATTACCCTATCTGAAGTGACCGTTCTGTGGGAAAAGATATACTCCTGCAGCAGGAGTTATGGAAACATTAATCTTAGGCCTACACCGAAATGGGTAACTCATTTGTTCACCAAACACAAACAGACACACATAGACACTTCATGACTGTTTCGCGCGGTGTATGTCTTTTTTTGCTCAGGATACAAATAAGATATCTCATTTTGATATACCCCTAACATTGCCTTTAAGAAAACTGCACGGAGGGTCAAAATGTGAAAAGCATATGCAAGAATACACAAGGGTAATTTACCTTCTTTAAATGAAAATTACTAAGATGCCTCCAAATGGTTGATACTAGAGGTGCACCCATACTTCGCAAAGATGAGTATCATCAATGTCGCAGAGATGATTATTCATATGTGTCATCTGTGCGAAGCATGAGTGCACCCCTTAGAACCTTTAATTTTTTTTAACGGTTTCATATTACTGGTTAATAGAATACAAGTTTAATTTCAATAAAATGAAAAGTATGTGGGTTTGAATTTACATGAACTGAGAGACACTTTGCACTTTCACACATCCTCTGTGACCTACCTTTCCTCCTCGCCTGCTCGCCTGCTTAAGTGATGAGCTACTTTCTATGTCCCAAAAAAAAATATGTTTTATTTTTATAGAGCTTAAGAAAAAAATATTGAAAAATAAAAATTGTATAATTAGAATTTGTTTAGATGAGAGAGAAAATTGTGAGTATTTTAAATCTAATTTATTGAATTGAAAATTGATTCAACATTAAAAAATAAAAATTATATTTTTTAAAAGATATGTCAAAAGTTCTATGAATCAAGATATGACATAATTATATTATTTTATCAAATAAGTAATAAAAATAGAAAGAATAGATAAAATTTAATCATTTGAATAATGAACGTGCAACCCAAATTAAAACAGATGGAATAAGTGGGAAGTTTTTCCTAATATGTTCAAAAAGAGAAAAATATATAAAAAGAAATTAGAACAAAGGAAATATTGGAGTAGCTAATAAGGATTGATGGACATAACAATTGACATGTATTATATACTCCGTATGAGTTTTCAATTACTCTAAAATTGTAGTGCATATTAGTATAATGCAATATAATTTTGAAATTTCTCTATAGGATTATCTAACAAAATTATTTTTACGTAAAAACACAGTGATTTTTATTGAATTGAAATTCAAAAATCATTGATTTAACTCGAAAAATCAAATTGGACAAAGTAGACGGCGAATCCATCTCTTAGGTGAAAACCTAGTGTGTGTGTGTGGTATCTCATCAAGCTTGCGTCGCATGCATTATTATTCACCATCTCTATACATACCTTTGCAAATTGCAACTTGTAGCTTTATTAGTTTAACATGACTGACCGGTCATCACTTTATTATTCATCACGACTAATTAATCAGTTTACTCTTTATGGGATTGACTGATAACTGAGGACGTACGTTAAGGAAATGGATTCTCTCCATTTTATGCAATTTCTCCACTTCACCTGCCTAACATAATTAGTCAAGGATAACTCAACCACAAATGTGAAATTTATGTTTATATATTTGAGCCTAGCATTAATTGTTTTTTTATTAACTGGATGACGATAAAGTTTGTACTCGTGACATTTGCATTAACATGATTTTTATAGAATCTCTTAGAGTATTTAAAAACTTTTTTTGGGGCACAATCACGAGATTGAGCTTTTGGTTAGATCACCTATTTGAAACAGTATCAGAGCATTGTTAATTAATGAGTCACAAGTTCAAAACTTATTACCACCCAGTTTTTCTAAAAAAATTAAGATTTCACGTGTAAAATCTTAAAAAGCTCATGTTTGCACGTGAGGCAGCATGTTAGAGTATATAAAAACCTTTCTTGAGTCACAAACACAAATTTGAACTTTTGGTTGAGTCAGTTTCATGCAAAATCCTACTCAATCAGAAGCTGAAACTTGTAGTTATAAGTTTGGGAAACATTCTATACTCTAATATATAATGAGTTTGTTTGAAGAAGAAAAAAATTGATAACTATTTTTGTACTAGTTAACATCGTTTGATGAAAAAAAAAGTTAACTTCCAAGAGAGATACGACTTTGCACAGCCTTAATTTGGACATGTTTGTGGTTTTGACTTTAGAGGCAATCCTCCTACTGAGCTGAAAACATGACGTGTGTGATCTATCTAATCCCTTCAAAGGGATTTTGACGTAATTAATAAAGCATCAAATTGAGGTTAAGGAAGCATCCCCATATCTTTGACCTTAATTATTGTCCTCGATCATTATTCCTTGTAAATAAATAAAGGTGAAGATTCTTTGAATTAGAGGTTATTTTGGACCAGAAAAAGAATGATCGAGCGAGCCCAAAGTTTAGGGAATTTACTTTATTACTCCCTCCGTTTCTTAAAATCCTTCCTCTTTCATTTTTTTTGTTTTTCTTAAAACACTTCCTCTTTCTATTAAAAAACCACTTTTACCCCTACTTTTTCATACCCTATCTATCACATCATACTTTTTCACTAACAACTAAACTATCACATCCTACTTTTACTCATTACATCAAGGGCAAAATTAGAAAATCAACTACAATTTAACACTTCCTTATTTCCCCCCAAAGTCAAAATAGGAATTCTTTTGAGAAACGAAAGTAGTATTAAGAACGTTTTAAAGTTGATTTGAGGAGGTAGAGGCGAGTCCCCGTTAGGTTTGCCCAACTTTTTTGCTTTGCCTGATTTTGTTTGGCTAATAGTAGCGGTTGCGTCGGAGTCTTTCTTGGGTTGTTTTGAGTTGGGTCAACTCATTTTAGTTTATTAAACGGCCTCGACTCCACATAACACATGCATGCCCAACATTAGATTCTACCTACCTATGACCTGAGTTAACTCATTTCATTTTATATACTCCTTCCGTTTCTTTGAATCCTTCATCTTTCATTTTTTTTGTTTTTCTTAAAACACTTCTTTTTTCTATTGAAAAACCACGTTTCCCCTACTTTTTCATACCCTACCTATCACATCATATTTTTTCCACTAATAATTAAACTATCACATCTTACTTTTACCCATCACATCAGGAGTAAAATTAGAAAGTTAATTAAAATTACACTTTCCTTACTTTGCCCCAAAGTCAAAACAAGAACTGTTTTGGGAAACGAGGGAGTACTAATTACAAAGTCAAATTTTATTCATTTTCTTTATCCATTTTCATGAACCATTTGATAAAATAATGTACTCATGCTACACTAGTTTTGTAAAATTTTTGATATCATTTTCTAAGTATATAATTTTTATTTTTAATTTCACACCAATTTTCATATAAAATAAATTGAAAATAATTTTAATAAAAAATCATAAATAAAAGTTGTCATTTAACTTGGGACGATGGGAGTTCAATATATGACAGTATTTGAAGAGAGCAAAAAATTGTTGATGATGATATGGATGTTTGGGATTTTTCTCTTTTGGGGAAATTGTTTATAAGTATCTGAAAAGTGTTTCTCAGTTTTTGTTTTGTAGAATTTTCAACGTAGTCTTTTAATATGTACGGAGTAAATTTTATTAATTATTTTTATACAAATATTTAAATAAATTACTTTTGGAAAGTGATGGGTTCTCAATAGTAAATAGAAAATTATAATCTTATTTGAACCGAAAAGGCAGAATCTCTAACTTTCTTTCAGCAAAGAGCCTACGAAATGTCACGGATTGCACTGGAAATAGAGAATAGAGAAAGAACATTGAACAATATGCATTCACCCCTCAAAAAAAAAAACAATTTGAATTTAAGTTTAGAACCATTATGAAAAAACATTCAAAGTTCGGACACCATCTTTAAAAAAAAAAGCATCAATCAAAAGAAAGTAATGAGAATTATTATTATTAATAATTAATCCGTATTAATTAAAGAGGCATTAATGCACCCTACGTTATATTACTCACCACCATCACCTTTTTCTGTTTTTTCAACAAAAAGCCGCAGACCCTCTCTGCATCCCCAAACCCCCTCCCCTCCCCCCTCCTCCGGGCCCTCTATCAGTTACCATTAAATCTATCCCTTTCCGCCCTAAACACGATCAATTTGATCTGTTAATCTTGTCTCACCCACAACCAAACGCCGCCGCCGCC